AAATGCATTGCAAAAAGTATATACATAAACTCTTACCCACATTCTAAGTATACAATGCAGCCAAAAGGTATTACCTAAACTATTGACAAGTCAAACTATATGTACCTATCAAATGATATGCAAAAAGTTAGATCAACTATTTCTTTGAAACCAAAAGTACACAACGTAAAAATAAATAATGCACTATAATAGTTAGTTAATAAGAAAATAATGTCGTAAAAACTATTTTCATGAACATGAGTTAAAGCTTTGTAAAACACCATAGAATAAAAGCAATTAATAACTCAAGATAATTTACTCATAGGAAACTTGTAATTACCTTTGTACAAAACAAGGACTATTGAAACTCAGCATCAAAATATGTACTCAGACATATAGAGTAATCTCAATACGTACAATAGATAAAATCTTTAGATTCGAGTAACCTCAAACACGAAGCATAGTAACTCTGGTCATATGAGTGCGTAGAGCTAAAGGGGTCTCAAAGACGTATCTGTATGAATATATTATAGAAACACATCCATATATCATACCAGTAATCACTTGGTTTCAACAAATATAGTAGTTTGAAACCCAAATTTAGCAATAAACTCAATAATTTCACAAACCATTCTAAAATCACTCTTTCGAAAACAATATTTCTCAAAATCATAATACAATTCTAAATTATTCTCAAACAAACATTGAATTCATAACAAAATTGCTAAATCATACGTAATTATATACTTTCTGAGACTTTATAATTCTGGATAAATAAAAACACTTTATAAAATAAACCACTCTCATATTATAAAATATAATATATTAAAACAAAAAACACTAAAACCATTGTTTTAAATATCCGTCGACACATCGACATTTGCATCGACATATCCATGTTTTCATGGGTTCGACATCGACATTTCCATATAATTTTAACTAATTTAGAAATAGGAAAATGTTTATTTGTTCATTTAAATATTTTTTACGATTTTTTTTTATTTTTTCTAACTTTTACAGAAATATCATTGATATCGATATTTCCATGAAATTGAGACCTCGACATTTCTATCGATATCGAAATTTAAAATCTTGACTAAAACTTAATATTTACAAGTTTTGAAAAATAAATATAAAGTTTACATTTCAAATGAACACATTATTTAATTCTACAAAAAAGATAATGCAGTTGCATACAAACTAGTAAAGATGGCGATGGAGACAATGGGAGAGGAGGTGGTGTGGTTGGAAGAAGGCTGCGCCACAACTCTCCCTCGTCTTCATGTGGCTCACTTTCTTTTGTGAGAAAAAAAAAACTTATAAACATTGCAACATTTGGTCCAAGTATAATTTTCGAAGGGATAAAACTTCAATTTTAGGGTACAATTTTATTGGACAATATTTTCTAGGAGGCTGATGATGGGAGGAGGAAGGAATTGATTGAATCCTTGTAATAATCACTTATCTTGAGAATTAATTCATATTTATTTACCGGCATTGAATATTATATATCAGATGATCCTCTCGTGAGATTAATTGAAATATGAGTATGCACGGACACTCGGAAAAGAAAAGAAAAGAAAAGACAAATTAGAAAAAAACAGCAGGAAACACGTGTTTCTGGTCGTCAAGGAAGTCGTGCACATGCTTCTGCTCAATTTTACTTTTTGTTATATTATTTTCTAAGTTTCCTGGATTTTATTATTTAAAAAATATTTTTTGCGGACGTGGCTTTGGAATATTTTATTCGTGGRTGGTAGAACAACTCCTAAATTATTACATCGACCTAAGGAAACAAAAACGTAAGGGCCGTTTTGTATATTTCRGGCRAAATATATTTTTGGTCMTTCAGATCTSAGGTAGGTATCTAYTTAGTCMTTGGTTCTTGAAGGYTCAAAATGAATCTTTTTGTTCTTGASATTTGAGGTAGGTGTCTAATTGGTCTGTAAAATTTCAAAATAACACTTTTGGTCCTTGAGATTYAAAGTAGATGTCAACTTGGTCCCTTAAGTTTTAAAATGAACGYTTTTGGTCCCCGAAGTTTGATAAATAGTTCTAAATGATTCCTGATTTTTTTACGGTTAATTAACTAATATTAAAACGACGTGACAAATTGGAATTAAATTATTTAGTGTAGTTGGTGATGTGRCAAATCATATTTATTAAATGATATATGTGTAGGTGATGGTACTTTATCTCTCCTCTCCTCAATTATTCCTCCCTCTTTCTCCTACCCTTTTCCAATATAATAATAATATATCAGACATATATTATTTAATCAATATAATTTGCCACATCAGCAACTACAATAAATAATTTAATTCTAATTTGTCACGTCATTTTAATATTAGTTAATTAACAGTAAAAAAAAATCAGGGACCATTTAGAACTATTTCTCAAACTTCGGGGACCAAAATTGTTCATTTTAAAACTTTAGAGACCAAGTTGACACCTACCTTAAACTCAATGACCAAAAGTGTTTATTTTGAAACTTCATGGACCAATTAAACACCTACCTCAAACCTAAAGAGCCAAAAGTATTCATTTTGAAACTTCAGGGACCAAACATCTCAAACCTCAAAAATACATTTTTTGCCCTATATTTTATCAATTATTTCCTTGTTTCGTTTAAAAATAAGTTCATTAATATCAACGTCTTTGGTAATTAATTTGTGTTTTGAAAGATTTTTTTTTAAATCAAAGACTAAAATATTCCGAAGTAAAATGTTCATTTTCGAAAGAAAGTACTTTCAAATAGACATTTAAATAAGGGGATTTGTAATTGGTAGCATATAAGTTTTCTATATTTAACAAAATAGCATGCCTTTTTTTATATTTTCAGATATAACATTTTTTTGAAAATCTTGATTTTAAAATTTTCAGTATTTCCAAATTACCCTTTTCAGTTATCGCGTGTAAACTTTCTCAATTTCTTTTCGTTATTATATATCAAACATATATCACATATATATATCAGGAGTATATCTGACAACATTAGTATATCAGAAGTCAATCAATTCTATATCAGTTGTAAAATAGTAAATCACTATTTTACCTCTGTTTTTTTTTTTTATCAATTAGAAATCAGTAGGTATTGGCATTCATGGAAAATGAGAAAAAAAATTGATACTTACTGAAAATGAGAAAGAAAACTTGAAAGGAACGTGAATGTGAACGTCAATGGTGATTTTCGAACTTGCTGTGAATGAGAAATCGAAGGAAAGAAGATGAATGAGCAATTAATTAGAAATCAGAGGTAACTAGAAACTTAGGGTTTTTCTGTATATCAATAATATATCAGTGATATATCACGTATACATCATACATATATCAGTAGTACAATTAAGTTTTATTTAAAGTTTTAAAGATCAAAATGAAATCAGGAACAATGTCATTCTTAAAAGGTTTAAACATCATTCTTGGGTATCAACATCAATATCAAATSAGCAGCAAAGTCCTTCAACCAAAAACTTAAAGGTTTAAACATCAAAACGAACCAATAGCATAAACCAAAAGTAGACTAACAATGTCATTCTTAAAATTCTATAAAAGAATAAGCAAAAGTTCCAGAAGCATAAGTTCCAATAGTCTAGAAAAGCATARGTTTCATTCTTGTATAATCTTTAGGTAAAAGCTTGGAACATCAATCTTCGTTCTTGGTGATTGTCGTGTCTTCGGAGATAATATCTTTGAAGCTTTCCGTTTTTCCATAGACAATACTTTTGGCGTTGGTTTATGTTGTCTTTTGGGACGAACGACATCAACATTTTCGACGATGTTTTTTTATTTCATTTTTCGTGTTTATAGTATATCAGAAGTCAATCAGTTCTATATCACCTATAATAGTATCTATCATAGTTATATCAAAAGTAAATCAATTTCATATTAGATGTATATGAAACATATATCACATATATATTAGTAGTATATCTGTCAATCATAGTTATATCATAAGTAAATCAATAGTATATAAGAAGTCAATCAATTCTATGYCACYTATAGCAGTAGATATCATAGTTATATMAGAAGTAAATCAATTTAATACCATATGTATATCAAACATATATCACATATATTTCAGGAGTATATCTGTCAATCATTAGTATATCAGAAGTCAATCATTGTTGGTTCGGACCTGCAAGATATACTTGTAATTTAGAWCGTGGGCTCCATTTTTTGCAAAAAAAAAAAAATGTGTGCTTATTTTTCTAACTTTTTTTTTGCCATATCTCAAGTTGCCCCTTTAAATAATAGAGATGTTTTTTTAAGTCGTTAGTTCAAACTCCCATACACATCTGCAAAGTGCAAAAAAGTGCAAAAAAATTATGCTCCAAAGATTGGTTGGAGGAAGCCACCCACGATCTGTGCAAAATTAGGAATTCTAGCCCCTTGGAAGCTAACTCTTTCCTTGACCATTGCTGTTATTTAAATAAAATAAAATAAAAAGTTTTTCTTTGTATATACACAATTAGAGAAAATAGGTTTCTAATACTATTTGAAAGAGGTGGAAACCATTTTGATACTTATACTTTACTTTTTTTCTATTTTAATCCTTATCCTTATATTTCTAAACTCCTTAYTTGGTCCCTATATTAGAAGGGAAAAAAAATATTTTAGCCTCTTGATTTTCTTTCTACCATATATTTTTAATTATTTCAATTAATAAATTTCTTAAAATGTAACTATAAAATTGTATTTAAAAAATTTTTACCGTATACAAAATTATATTAAAATTTTACAAATTAAAAATCAAAATAATCACTTTAAAAAAGTACAGAATAAAACATCAAAGCCGAGAACATTTTTAAAGTAAGTATTTAAAATAGTTACAACTAAGAAAATACTTTGATGAGGCTGAGCAACCAAAACAGTAATTAATTCGATAAACAGAACAACAAAACTTGGTAAATCTAGAGCCATACCTTCAAATTTAACTAGTTTTTAACTGGGTTTCAACGGAATATTAAAGATTCTTATCCAAAACAACCTGGCTATTCAGTTCCTGTAATGAACTTTGCCAATAAAAATAATGTACGAAGGCGTGTTTATTAGGCTAAATTGTGTACTTTGCCARTAAAAATATGTAGATGATACATGGGGAAGTAATAAAAAGGGCATTCCTTTGATGTCTGGTAACCCATACTAAGCCAGGCTAACGATATCCATAATTAAGGCTGATCAACATACAATAAAAAAGAGGAAAAAAACAGTGCCAAAATTGAAAAGATGGATGGATGGGAGAGAGCAGTGCAAAAGAAGTAACTCATTCCTGCGATGCACCATCTTTTGTAGTTGCATCCATTGGCTCAGCCTCTCTTGAATCATCGGGTTTGTTGTCGCCTTTCTTACCTGAAAGGCGTCAAGAAAACTTGGCTCAACATGACTATAAACCATACATCCTCTTATAATTATGGTTTGAAACAGTATGGAACTCTTAGTGTGGACTCCTGACATTACCTTTCTTTTTCTTCCCACCACCCTTTTTCTTCGACTTCGTTCCAAGAGCTAACCAAGCCTTGATTTCAGGATCATCTATAGTTTTTGTGGGCTGAAGCTCTTGCAGAGCATGAGAGGTGATTCGATCAGATCCATTGGGCATTAGTAAGACCGTAAATTTAGTGTGGGCAACATAATCACCTGCAAATGAACCCTTACCGTGAGAATAGAAGAAAATAACCATGCAAAGGACACACAACAAAAATGGATATAATTAAAAGAAGGAAAAGACTCCTACCAGGCTTTTCATGGAGGACAGGATACGGTTGCAATAGGTCGTGATTAACACATTCAACTAGTCCCAGCCTAGCTCTTTTCTCTTCCAAGGCCCTATTAAGGTGTTAAACCTATGCTTCAGAATTGCAGAAGCAAATGCCTTCCAAAAAATATTCATTGTCAAAACACAACCAACCTAGCAGTGAAAGGCAGAATGGGAAATTTCTGACTTATTTCACTGAAAATAAACCTAGATGCTTTCATCTTCAAGTGGTAGTTCTTGTCCACAGCTCTCTTATATATAGTGGTCTGCCTCTCATCCAGCAGCTTAGGCTGCAAATTTGTTCAGAAATATTTAGTATCACATGATAAGAAGTTAAGATACATTACTCCAGTTGATTAACTTAAAGAACTTTATTACCTTGCCTTCACCTGTGGTTGTAACTATATCTATTGCATAAACTTCATTTTCTTCAAACTCTGCATCATCAACTCTTGTTTCTGGATTTGAAACACTGAGAATAACCTTGTTTCCATCAATCACGAATTGCTTCAGCTGGTGGCTAAGTACACCTTCAACAATTTTGCAATCATAAGCAGCAGCAACCTTTTGAATGGCTTCGGTTACATCTTTATTCTGAAATCGAAGGGGTTTGGTTTAATCAATCAATAAAAGCTTTCGAACAGAAATCAGTCAAGCATCAAATGGAAGTACGAAAAAAAATACAACCCACAAGAAAGCAGGCATTTATAATTTTTATACATATATAAAAAAACAAAAACAAAAAAGAAGCAACTGTGTTAATCAATGACTTTTGGTATTACCCAAGTTATGAAAGCTACTTATGGAGTCAATAAATATGGGAAAAACCGATAGATTGTCCACAAAAGTGACATGTCCTATCAGAGTAACTATGACAAGAAGCCTCATTTGGAATATACATTCCATAGCTTTCATAAAGTATTCATCATATAGGGCTGTCAGACAACACAGCAGAGATAAATTATACTAATTACCACAACATTTTGCTGAAAAAGAAGTTGTGGGAACAAACGTTGAAAGGAAAATAAAGATTCAAAAGAATATCTTAAACCCCTAACAAAAAGCTCTATCAGCATAATCATAGCTTGCTTTGAAGTTTAAATTAAATGAGATTCAAAAGTTATGAGAAAGCAAATTATTTGTTAATTTTGGCAGAATGCCAAGGTGATTCTACCCACCCTTCAGACAACATAAGAGTTCATCATGAAAATGTATATTCTACAGCAATTTGGACAATTGAGATCATAGCCATCATCCATGGCCACTCTACCAATGATTATCCCAAATTTGACCGTGCACAATATTGGCAACAGGGAAAAGAGGCAATCCACTAGACTCAAATCACCTCGGCAAAGTTGCCTTCATTATTAAGTGCATTATRGTTGCTTTCATTTACTTAATTTCTACAAAAAAAAACATGCTTCCCATTTTACATCACAAGAGATTATCAGGACAATGTATATTCTACAACAATTTGGTCAACTGAGATCATAGGGATCATC